CCTCTGCTTTGAAAAAGGAGCTATATTTTATTCTTGCGTGACATTGAATACTTCCCATCTGCCTTTGACTTTCTGCTTCAGTATATTTCTGATTCTCTAAATTGCACTGTTCATTTTTATATTTAGCCCTTGAAGTCATCTTCAACCGGTCTTCCCCATGCTGGTTGCAGAAGTGTGAGGAATTAGAGAAGATGCTCTGCCAGCTTCGTGCCAGTTCTACTGTGCTGTTAATGTCACAAGGATTACTTCCTTTCCTGAAGTACCATTTACTTATAATCATGGTACTCAGGTTGTTTTCATTTCTTCATTGGAGGCTTAACATTCTATTTGTGGATCCACTGCTGGAATAATTAAGTATTTCAGGTGCTCAGCCCTAGGCTAGGGGTGGGGGTGTGTATGCTAGAACCCCCCCCCCCACACACACACCCCTTTTAGAAGAATCTGGAAATATGAATTTTTATATGAAAATCTTACAAGTTTTAAATGTTGATAAAGGTGGGGCAGGATGTAGGTGAGCTAAGAGAAGAGGGAGGAGTTATTTCTGTTACTTCCCGTACCTGGGACAAAGGTACAGAGTCAGTAGAGAATGTGTGTTTTCCTTATCAGTACTGACCCTAGTCCCTGTGGGCTCTTCTGAATCACCCTTTCTAGGTTAAACCTGCTGCTTTTATCAGGATATAGGTCCGGCTGCCTGAACAGCAACTCAAAGTATTAAATCAGATATAAATTATTTCTCTCCTAATGGTCTGAGTGTAGGCAAACTAAGGTGCTCCTTTTTTCTTCTTGTTTTGCCTTGGCTCATCCTCATGACCCGACATGTTTCACCTTTGTGTGTACATGCCAGCTGGCAGGAGGGGAAGGGGTGGGTGGAGAAGGCCATGCCCTTTCTTTGCAGGGCAGGATCCAGATGGTACCACTTCTGTTCACGCCCTGTTGCCCAGAATTTAGTGATGTGGCCATTCCTCACTCAAAGGAAGGATAGAAAATGTGGGTTTTAGTTGGGCAGCTATATATTAGCTAAAAATTAAGCACTTAATCAGAAAGAAAGAATAGGTATTATGGGATGCTTTGCACTTGTGGGTTGCAGTTTCTATGAGGTAAGGTTATCCCTTACCGTATTCATTGCTTCAGTTTTGTAATTATTTTAGCAAACTCTAGTAGCACACATGGCAGGTGATACTTGCCATTCATTTTTCCTGTTTTATTAGTGTCTCATGGCCTACTTTATTTCTGGTTCACTCAACATTGCGTGATGAGTCTGTATTGTTGGTCTTAGAGCAGGGGTYTTCAAACTTTTTGTCTCCTTAAAATTTACCAAAGAGCTGGGGTTGTGGCTAGTCATAGAGTGCTTGCCTAGCATGCGTGAGGCATCACTGGGTTCGATTCCCGGCAGTACATAAAAAAAATAAACAAATAAATAAAATAAAAGTATTGTGTCCATCTACTACTAAAAAATTTTTTAAAAAAATTTACTAAAGATGCTGAAAAGTTTTGTTATGTAGGTTATATGTATTTATTATTACTGTATTAAAGTTAAATATTAAATGAGTATACCAGTAAACATTCCATTAACTGTTGGAAATCTCCACTATACAACTGTGAGAGACTGATGTTAAAAAAGCAAATAATGTTTCAGTAATGGTGTGAAAATAATATTGACCTTTTAGACTCCCCTAAAGGATCTGGAGAGACTTGGACCATATTTTGAGAGTCTCCAATCCAGAGAATATATATATTGATTTTGATAATTGTTTATATTATAACTGGAAGTGTCAGGATTAGGTGTTGTCACATAATTAGTTGTTCATAAACCAAGTGTGGCTCAGTGCTACAGTTCTTGCCTAACATTCTCGAAGCTATGAGTTCAGTCCCCAGCAAAGTAAAAAAAAAAAAAAAGTCAACTGACCAATGTTTTATATTTAGGAAGTGCTTGCGTTTTATATTTAGGAAGCATTGGTTTTCATTATTACTGGATAATATATTAAATTATGTGTGCAAATTAATAGTGAATATTTTTTTATCTATAATAGTTTAATCCATTCAGGTGTTCAGGATGAACTAAACATTTTATACTTATAGAAGCTCATTACRTTTTATGAGTTTATTTTTGTGCATGCTTATTGTTTTGGGCCACGCTGCCCTAAATCCCCCTTTTCTCACTTGGCACATCCTACATCTTCTAGAAATGAAAAGTGCTGGAGATGTCAGGATATTCTATCRCTTTTGCAGCCAGGCTGTAAGCATATGAACTAGGCACTACCAGTCAGACACCTCCATGTCATTCTGTGAGATAGAAACTAGGGACATGCAGAAGTGCTAGGCAGCTGCACAATGATTCCATGGCAACAATTCCCGATAGAGTTGCGGGAACTGGTGGAACAAGCTTCAGACWCCCCTGCTCCTTGGCAACAGAGATAGCGGTGGGGTTTTCACCAGACCAATGCTTCTGTATGATTTGGGTTAATGTTCCTGAAATTGTAACCTCACCAACCCCGATTTCTCTGGTTCTTCTGGAAATATGTGATCTTTTCATTATCCTTCCATGAATTCAAAAGCCATTGTCTTTGCCTTTTGTTAAGAATCCTGTGTGGTCCATTATCAAATATAGTGCTTCTCAAAGTATTGTTTGGAAGCTAAATAATTGTCTTCATGTTTCCAACATTTGAAATTATTTGTTCTATGTTAAGGGTCAGAGGGACTTTTTTTTTTTTTGGTACCAGGGATTGAACCCAGGGGCGCTTAACCACTGAGCCATATCCCCAGCCTTTTTTTTTTCTTTAATATTTATTTTTAGTTGTAGTCAGACACAATAACTTTATTTTATTTCTTTATTTTTATGTGGTGCTGAGGATCAAACCCAGGGCCTCTCACATGCTAAGCAAGTGCTCTACCACTGAGCCACAACCCCAGCGCCCCCAGCCTTTTTAAAAATATTTTTTTAGAGACAAGATCTTGGTGAGTTACTTAGGGCCTCACTAAGTTACTGAGGTTGGCTTTCAACTGATGATCCTCCTGCCTCAGCCTTCCAAGCCACTGGGATTACAGGCATACACCACCACTCCTGGCTTGGAGTGGCTTTYAAAAGAAATAATTCTACTCTTTACAAGACCCTAATCAATGACTAGTCAGTATTTCCTTTTTATTCTGTCTCTAACTCTTTTTTTAAAAAAATATTTTTAGTTGTTGATGGACCTTTATTTTATTCATTTATTAGTATATGGTGCTGAGAATCGAACCCAGTACCTCACATATTCTAGGTAAGCACTCTACCACGGAGCCACAACTCTAGCCCCATTTTTAACTCTTAATATATCTTCTTTTTTTTTTTTTTTTTTCCTGTTAACTTCTTATCACTGAGAAGTGGTAATTCCCCAGTTGGTTGCTGCCAGAATTGTTCAACTCAAGCTCTGGCTCTTTTCAGGTCATTTCTTTCTTGAACATTTTGTAGTGAAAAAACCCTGCAGGCTTGGGGCTTAGGGGTAACACCAGGGATGGTGCAGATAATGAGGGAGAAGAGATAAGTGACTTTCCTTGAAGGGTTTCTCAGCCGTGGACTTGGGCCAAAAAATAGCCTGGAGGGGCTCATTGATCTACTTAAGAGATTTGTAGAATAACAATGTTAGATTTGTAGAATAACAGTGTTATAATTTAAGAGAATGTAGGCTCCTTTCCCTGGTTCCTAAATGAGGAAATGAGTGAGGAGAAGGTACATGTCCAGAGTCACCTCAGTGACTCAGTGGGTTATAAAGGACAAAAGAAATCTAGAAGAAGTGGGAAATGGTGATACAGAGATTGATGTGCATTAGCATAAAACGGAAGGAACTCACAGAACTTGGGTATGTTCACTTCACACCTTTGAGCCTCAGTTTCCTCAATGGCAAAGTAAAGATTCTAATAATAGCTAACATTTATAAAATTGACTATGTGCTAAGAACTATTCTAAAGACTTTATATGCTGACCCAATCTTTGCCACCACCATATGCCATGGTACTGTTACTTCATTTTTTCGTATGCACAGAAAGGCTATCTAACTTACCTATGGGCATGCAGCTAGCATATTGATTTTGGATTGCTACTTCACACATTTCCATGATCTCATCAATACACTTTTAATCCCACAGTTGTGTGGATGAGGTATCAGGACCCAGCCTCCCTGAGTCCTCTGCTCACCATCTCACAAGGCAGGGGTCAAGGTGTGGACCAGGGACTGGGGTCCAACTGAGGTTTGGGCTTCTCTTCAGAGCTCATGTTATTGTTGGCAAAATTAATTTCCTAGTGGCTGTGTGGCATTTGGATCTTCTATACCAGCAGAAGAGCATCTCCTTTGAAAGATCTAACCTCATTAGGTCAGGGCCACCCAGGATAACCTCTCTCGATTATTTGAGTATCAACTGACTAGGGTCCCCAATATCTCTGCAATATCTCTTCACTTGTGCCATATAATGTAACATAATCATGGGAGTAATAGCATTGCCTTTGTCATGTTCTGTTGGTTTGAAGCCAGCTACAAAGTTTTGTCCATACCTGAGGTAAGGAGATTAAACAAACCCATTGTTTCCAAGGAGCAGAAATACAGAGCCTTCTAAGACTTCTGCCTACCACAGCTCTAAACTGAGTTTAAACCCTGTGACCTAGGTAAAGAGTCCATTGCCCCAGAGTTCTTGCTATTAACCACGAAATTCTTCTTTCTTCCTTTGAAGAAACTGAACCTATTTTATATCCAAGCATAGGGTTCTAAATAAAATAACACCCAGCAGCTTCATCCTGGGTGCTCATCAAATATTAATTCCCTTCACACCTCCACTTTGAATGTACAGCTTCAACAAAACATAACCGCCTACGATTTTGTATTTTCCTGACCAGATTTCCAAAAGCCTCTCTAAACCCTCTGGTTATGTAAGTTATCTCAATGTGTTGATGTTTTTTTGAACATGTTATTTGGAATTTGGGACTTGGGTTCTCCACAAATAACCTTAGCTCTGCTTTTGTCTTTGAAACAGATGAAGTGATTGAGAAGAAACAGTGGACACCTTCCCATTTTGTAGACAGAACAACATGGAACAGCCATTTACTCTGAATTCTCTGGTAGGTAGCAGCAACTGATGCTTTACATATGGTTGGAAAATCCAAAATGAAGAACAGAAACGGGCCCAAACAAATGTGAAGTGAGTCACAGTTGCTTTAAGAAGTTCAGCACTTGTAGTTTTTCATGCATCTGTGCGGCCAGCAGTCTCCTTTGAGGAAGTGACTAATAAAGCCATCTTCACAAGACTTAAAAATAATTTTTTTTTCACAACAAAAGTGTAAAATTTTAATTAAGGTAGATTCTACCAGTGTAGTCCTTTGGAAAAACACTGAAGAGAACTTGAGAGTGGTATCATAGCRGGTAAAGCTCTTTGTGCCTCCGTCCCTTTACAGATAAAAATTGGGAGTCTTACCATGTATGCTAATAGTTGAGGAAAACATATTTGATTTAACACCCCAGCTTTGCTTTGGGATCCTTGTGTAAATATCTGCATTCTTGAAACTCTTCTTCCTCTCACTTTTTCCATTATGGCTCAGCAATACKCATACTTCTCTGGCAATACCTTAGAAGAGTGTGTATAATCTCTGTGGCAATTATTTGTGCCTTATGAAAATTGTAGACAATATTTTCCATGTTCCCAGCCTACCACGATGGCTTGATAGATGGAATCRATACTTACTTTACTCCTGACTCTTCGCAACCCATACCTGGCAACCCTATAGAAGTAGCCTTGTAAGCAACAGTGTGCTAACACCCCATCACACCCAAACAGTGAAATAGAAGGCCTGGATCTTGCATCAAAATAGGTTGTGACCTAGTGTTTTTTCTCAACCTCAAGAAAGTCCTTCACAGGGGCTTAGTTACTTTCAGAGCATTTTTGAGAAATAAGGACYGACTTTGCAGGAACTTATTTGCTGACCCTGTGTTGGGAATAATAAAGGTTTGCCCCATGTCCATCTTTGAAGAGGAAGGAATCATCCTCATAGTGTGTCTTACATGCTTTTTCCAAAACGTTATATAGATCAATTTTATTTTTATCTTTAGGGAAAAAGATAATCTAAATATAGCCTTGTTACTTCCTTTTCTGTCTTCCTCACTTCCTTCTCCCTTGCTTTCTCATTCTGTCTCTCATTTTCTTTTTCTTTTTTTCCTGCTTTTTTGGTGTTAGAGATAGAACCCAGGGTCTTATGTGTAGTAGGCATATAACCTGCCACTGACTGATAACTCCATAACCCAACTTTTTTCTGTTTTATTTGATGCATTTATGGATTTATCAGCTCTGCTTCAGGGAATATGCCTCAACCTAGGGAACAGAGATGAATGGAAAATGATTCCTTTTAAAACTCCAAGGAGTTTTGAAGAAAAACATTTATACAGATATAACTAAGACTCAGCAGACTCTACAGTAATGACTGTGGCAAATCACTCTTGCACGTATGGGAAACCAGAAACCCCACTTAGAAAATGCTCTAAATTTCATAGTTTTTTTTTTCCCAAGTTATTTTGTGATGTCATAGAGGCAATTATCTGTGGTTGAATAACAGTATTTTCATTTGTTGGGTTTTATAAGTGAGTATAATTAGGGGAAGTGGGTGGATTGCAATAGTGTTGGAGACATCTCAGTTGGAAGCCTCTGCACACTCACTCCCTGAGTTCTTGAGTTTCAGGTTCCTGTCTCTGATGTAGGGAAACCTCCAAGCGTTTCTCTGAAATTGCCATGTTCTTCAGAGACTAAAAGAACAGCATAACAGGGTGTGGATCAAAATAATTGTGTTTTTTTTTTAAGTACTTGCACCTTATTTTTTAATTGTCATAGAATATTTTTACATATTTATAAGGTATAGTTTGATAATTAAATTGAAGTATTCAAGGGATAATGATATAATCAGGRTAATTAGCATTTTCATCTCTTCAAATATTTATCATTTCTGTATGTTGGGTACTTTGGGGTTCTTCTTTTCTAATTATTTTAAAACATATAATAATAGTCTATAGTTACCTTACTTTAGAACACTAGAACTAATTCCCGCTATCTAATTGTATATCAATACCTGTTATCTRTTGAAGGAAGTATGCTTTAATTTGACATTATGCTAGGAAGGGACTGAGTTTTGGTGTCACTGCCAGTCCTATCTTTTAGARTTCTGACCAAGTAATCATAGATTAAAAAGTACCAGGTGAGGATCAAAATTGCATATTCCCTTTATTATTAGTAACTTGGATCAGAAGTTTTCTCTCCACTGGAGCATGTGGGAGATTCTTCTTACTGCTTCTGCCTTAAATTGATGAGGTRTATCAACTCTACCACTGAAAAGGGAGATGTGGACCCTCAGGGAGAGGAAGCTCAGGCCCCAATAGCYTCCCTGGGGAAGAAAGATCGGGAAGGAGGTTCAGGGCAGGTCAGAAGAGTAGCAGCAGATGTAAAAGGCAAGGCCTGCTTCTGATTTATGGAACCTTGAGAAGCAAGTTTATCGCTCTCTGGTTATATATTAAGCCTTTAGAAGCAAGAGTCGTTTCAGATCCCTGGAGTTCTATTTGCTATAAAATTAACACCAAAGCAGACCAAATGGCGTTGGGAAAACTCCAAAAGTCTAATCCATTGCACTCTATCCATGAAAGTTGAATCAGTAATTCATAACTAAAGGGTTTCTACCTTGATTTCTTTCATAGCATTTTACAAATATTCATCAAATGCTCTGCCCATACTACAGTCAGACTTACAACCTACCCTTAACAGAGCAAAGAGGCCTCAGGCAGCTAAATYTGCATTGGGTTAGCTCTGTTTTGGTGCATGAAATAATGGGAGAGTGATCTAGATTGGAGCATTCGGAGGAAGTTCCCCTGGGAACGCWAGTTAAAACATCCATTCTCTGGTCCACTTTCAGAGATCCTGAGGTTTTAGATGCAAGTGGGGCCAGTTAGGAATTTGCATTTTAAAGAAAGGCCCAGTTTGCAGCTGATGCTGCTGTTGTATGGACCAGGCCTTCAGACACTCTGGTAGCCCGTGGAGATCAAGTATGGTCTCACAGCTAAATTCACTGCCTGGAATACAGCCAGGTTCAGTTCTATCTTATTGTTTATGGCTGCATTCACTTTAGGAGATATGAATTCAAGTTGCAAAGGGCCCTTAATAGAAAAAATTTTCTTTTTTTGCCTTTCCCAAGCTCTGATTTCTTATTGAATAATTGAGTAATTATCCTAAATATGCCTACTATATGCATTTCTAGATAGAAATATATTTATTAATAAAATTCAAATATAGTAATTAATATGTGTTTTAGTAATTCGGTATGTTRTTTTCTTGGTCAAGGACTGATTAGCAGCATAATTGCTCTCATGTGGAGTTCTAAATTTTTTATACTTACCACATGGAGATGGGGTTCTTAATGCTGGAAAGGCTTCTGTTGGACTTATTGGAATTTTTTTTTTTTTTTTTGGTTGGTTGGTTTTCTTTTTATTAAGTGAAGATGTTTGGGAGGCCCTGGAAGCTTCTTTTTAAAGTAGATATATTCTGGAATAGATCAAATCCTCATAGTAACTTTGAATCCAAGCTACCTCCTTCAGACCCTTCAGGATAGAATGATATGAGGCCCACAATGGCAGGAATTCCTCTCAGGTCCTGCTCAGCATGACCTGGATATAAATATCCAGGTATATTGATGGTCAATGGTATTTTACCTCACATGACATGAAATATTTGCAGACCTAGGAACTGCTGCATAATTGTACCTTGAAACTGAAAAAGAAATCTTACTCCAATAAAAATGTATGTTTACACTGGATATGTGTTTTTTGGTGCAAAAAGATTTTGTTTTGATCATATCTTTAACTCTCTTGCTCTTTTTTTTTTTTTTTGTGTGTGTGTGTGTGTGTGTATGTGGTCCTGGGAATGGAAATCAGGGGTGTTCTGCCACAGAGCTACGTTCTCCTTTTTATCTTCTATTTTGTGACAGAGTCTTACTAAGTTGCACAGTCTGGGTGTGAACTTGTGGTCTTCCTGCCTCAGCCTCCCAAGTCACAGATGTGCACCACTGTGTCAGGCTCACATCTTTAACTCTTAAGAAAAGATACCCTTAGTTCTTGGTTTCAGTTTTTAGTATAGAAAATACATCTGCTAATCAGTCATTTTCATTTCTTATTATAATCAGAAACTTCAATTTTGCTTTGCAGAAAAAGTTAGCTGCCATGCCTGACCATACAGATGTCTCCCTAACCCCAGAAGAGCGAGTCCGGGCCCTCAGTAAGCTGGGTTGTAATATCACCATCAGTGAAGACATCACCCCACGCCGATACTTCAGGTCTGGAGTAGAAATGGAGAGGATGGCATCTGTGTATTTGGAAGAAGGAAACTTGGAAAATGCCTTTGTTCTTTATAATAAATTTATAACGTAAGTCTTGTTGGAGGCCTTTAAAATAAGAAAATTGGAAAAATACTTACATGATATTTTGATGTGGCTGACTGGGTACCAGGAAATTTTTCACATTCAAACCAGTTTTATYATTTGCAAAAACATAAAATGTCCAGGCTTTAAAGTTACTAAGAAGTTTACTGAAAGGCATTTAGACACCTTCTCTGAGACTTAGATGGGAGCAATCAAGGCTTTCCGTAGGCCAGCCTGGAAACCTGAATGTCTCACTGTTCAAAAGTAACATTTCTTGTTTCATGCTTTTCTTCCCTCACTGGAATGTAAGGTTTCTAAGAGGAGGAACCGTAGTATAGCTCCATCCTTAGCACCTGGAACATGCTATCAGAGTTTTTAAAATTTGATTTGGTGAGTTGAGACTAGGGGACAAGTTGGGGAACTTAGGAAARATGTGGTTCAGGGTAAGGATACAGTGATTTCATTTAGTCCTTAGTTTTTTTCTTTAAACAAAAGGCAATTTTGGGCTGGGATTGTGGCTCAGCCGTAGAGCGCTCACCTAGCTCGGGAGGGACCTGGGTTCGATTCTCAGCACCACATTAAAAAAAAAAATAAAGGCATTGTGTTGTGTCCATCTACAAAAAAGACTCTCTCTCTCTCTCTCTCTTAAAAAAAAAAAAAGAAGAGAAAAGGCAATTTGGCTGTGTAAGAATTGTATGTATAAAAGGGTATTCAAAATGTTGAATGAAAGTGGCTACCTCGAAATAGCCATCTCTGTAAAAATGTCACATCCCCATTAGATATTTGTTAGAAACATGTCCTTGTTAAGAGGTAGCAGAAAGGGTCTGGGGAAGTGGCTCAGTGGTAGAGTGCCCGCCTAGTGCATTTGAGGCTCTGGTTGGATCCTCAGCACTACATATGAATACATAAAAAATAAAGGTATTGTGTTGGATCTACAACTAAAAATATATATATATTTAAAAAAAGAGGTAACAGAAATGGGATTTTGAGTTTTCATGCAGGTTTAGTGACTTAACTTGTTAGAAGGATCTACTTTTAGCTTGGTGCAGTGGTGCACGGCTGTAATTCCAGAGGCTCAGGAGGCTGAGACAGGAGGATCTCAAGTTCAAAGCCAGGTTAGCAACTTAGCAAGGCCCTAAGCAACTCAGTGAGACCCTATCTCTAAATATAATACAGAAAAGGGCTGTTTATATATATATATATGCATTGTGAAATGACTAAATCAAGCTAATTAACATATTCATTACCTCAAATGCCATTTTTTTGTAGCAAGAATATTTGAAGTGTACTCTCTTGATAATTTCTAAGTATACACTATATGAATACCATGTTGAACACGGGCTCTCCTAAACTTACTCCTTCTAACTGAAATTTGTATCCTTTGACCAGCATCTCCTAACTCCCTCCATATCCCCAACCACTGGTGACCACTGTTCTATTTTCTGCTTCCTTGAGTTTGACTTTTTAAAATCTCACATATAAGTTAGATCATGTAGATAATGACCATGTAGATCATTTGTATTTCTTTTCTTTTTTTTATCATTTGTATTTCTTTACCTTATAATTTCACAAATTTATTTGGGGACTTACCATTAAAACATTTCAGAAATTGAAAAGAAAATATTTTAAAACTGTTTTCCATGATTCTACCAAGGGCAAAGTTCAAAGTGGTTTTCATAATCTATAAATTTCTATATTAGTGAACAATAAAATTTAACTTGGAAATTTAAGAAATGGTTGTGGTTGGAAACCTTTGCCCTACCTGAGTTAAAGTTAAGCAATAACTATGAAATTGAAGGTTCCCTACCACCATTGACAACCAAGACTTGTCAGAAATATTTGTTTCTGAACTATRTTACCAATGAATAATATTTATTTTACTTTCTCCAGTTTACACACAATCCTTTGGAATCACAAGGGTGATGAGAAGGAAAAGCCACTATTCCTTCCTTGAGTTACTGAGTAATTAGAATGCTTGGATTATAGTGTTAGCAGTGCAGTAATTTGTACTTCACTTATGCTTCTTGAACCTCACTGCCTCATCTATGAATGAAGGACTTAATGGAAGAACATCTCTGAGGTTCCTCCAGCTCTCAATGTCTAATTTTACTCTGTTTATAAGGTTTCAGGCAGTTAACAACTTTTTTTGTAGCTTCTGTAAGTCTTAATTTTGTCATTTGACAATTGGATATTACCATTCCTGTTTTCCCCTATARCCTTGTAATCAGATGAAATGAGTTGATAAATATGTAAATGTGATCTGTAAACAACAGACTCAGTAATTGCAAGATACCACGTAATGGTTGGTCAAAAATTATATTTCTAGCCCATTGKGATAATGTTACAAATTTTTATTCAGTAACTATTATAAACTGTAGTTCAGGCTGGGGACACATCAGTGCACAAAAAAGTATTCCCGCCCTTGTGGAAACAGTTTCTTCACTTTATCTGAGAGCTTGCACCTGGTTTTCATGGATTTACCTTCAATTCTGGTGTATCTTGTTCCTCCAAAAGAGGTGACAAATAATTAACTACTAATTAACACCTCCCAACCAACTAGGGATTTAGGTTGTCATTTCTCTTAGTTTTTTTTTTTTTTTTTTTTTATTGGTCGTTCATAACATTACATAGTTCATAATACATCATATTACACAGTTTGATTCACGTGGATTATGAACTCCCCCTTTTACCCCATATACAAATGGGTGTTCAGTTTAAGAGTTTTGATTCATACATGATGGTGCTACTGATTCACGAGCAGTTGGTTGAGTCTTTTTCAAGGGTGAGAAAGGATTTATATTTCCAAACTCTTACACACATGAGAAAGATGGGGCTCTCGTGGGATCAAGTGTCYGGGGCCTGGGAAAGACCAAAGTGACTTGGTCTATATAGGGAGTAATGTGTTCTGACCCTGTTAACCTCAGTCCTTAATTTGCTGGGTCTAACTGCTCCAGAATGCCAAAACAATAACCATGCCAACTTTACTGAGAAGGTAGATGAAAAGTCTATATGTTAAATAATAAGTTACTATGCATGTCATTTTTGAAAAGGATGCTCATTCCCATCTGTGTTAATCAACTTTTCATCACTGTGGCCAAAATACCCGACAAGAACAACTTAGAGGAGGAAGTTTGTTTGGGGGTTCACAGCTTTAGAGACTCAGTTCATGTTCACTGGACTCCATTTGCTCTGGGCCTCAGGTGAGGCAGAACATCATGGTGGAAGGATTGGTGGAGGAAGGCTGAAGCAGAGAGAGAGAGAGAGAGAGAGAGAGAGAGAGAGAGAGAGAGGAGGGACAAGGTGTAATTCCCAAAGGCACACCCTTAGTGACCTAGTTTTTCCAGCCACACCCTACCTGCCTACAGTTACCACCCAGTAGTTCATTCAAATTGTTAATCCATCAAATGGATTTATTCACTGATAAGGTTGTAACTCTCATCATTTAATCATTGCCTACAAGCCCCACCTCTGAACCTTGCTATAATGAGGACCATGCTTTCAAACCATGAGCTTTTTTTGTGGAACACTAAAAGTCCAAACCGTAACACTGTCTTTGGGCTTTTGCTGTCATATAATGCTAAGGATATGTTTTTTCTTTCTCTAGCTTGTTTGTAGAAAAGCTTCCTAGCCACCGAGATTACCAACAATGTGCAGTGCCTGAAAAGCAGGATATTATGAAGGTATTGTGGGATCGATTCTCTGCTGTGGGATCAAATGCTCCATAAGTATCCATTATTGATTTCCCTCCTGTTTCTATTCCTCCCCATCTCTTCCTCTGGAGAGTTTGAGCACAAGAAATTCATTCCATTAGGCATGATGTTTCGATTTCTTTTTAGACATTTAATGATTATGACTGAGCCAGTGTGAGGTCTCTAATTGATGTTGGGGGGAAAAGAAGACAAAGAATGTGCTCAATCACTTTCTGACATGAAGAAGGAATTATTTTTACATTTTCTCTCAGAGATAGAGAGAATGGTTATATATTTCCCTGTGTTTTGATTAATCTGTACAGCCCTGAACCCAACTATTTGAAAATCAACATGGATTTTTAAGGCAGCCACAAAGTTCTAGCCACAGTCATAATTGCGTAATGATGCTTCAGTCCATCACAAATCACATGTGTGACAGTGGTCCCATTAAGAGRTATTGCCTAGTGACGTCATAACTGCCTTAGTTTGTTTGTAAGTACACTCTATAATGTTCACACAATGACAAAATCATTGAATCACACATTTCTYAGAATGTGTCCCCATCCATAATTGGCACATGACTCTGTTTACCTCTTAGAGAACTGGTCTTATGCAAAATAAAATGTTGGGGCTGGGATTGTGGCTCAGAGTGCTTGCCCCGCACATRTGAGGCACTGGGTTTGATCCTCAGCACCACATAAAAATTAATAAATAAAATAAAGATATCATGTCCATCTATAACTAAAAAATATTTAAAAAAATAAAATGTTGACAGGGTGGTCTGCCTTAAATATTCTCAAGGAAAAGAAAGATCGTTGCAAATGCATTTGTCATAAACAATCACTTTAATATCTTTAGCTGAGAATGTATCCTTTTGAATAAACATGTACAGTGTTTCCCATTTATTCCTCCTAAATGGTTTGTGTTGCTCTTATAAGGAATTAAAGTAATGTATACAAAGGCAATCACAGCATGAAATGTTTAGATGACTTTTGAAAATTATGTTATCACATTATGGAATAAAGGGTCTCCTACCAGTCCTATGAAGCCTGAGGCTACCTAGATGCAGAACTCAGATTTTGTCAAATGGTTATCTACATTTTAAAAAATGTTTATAGTCACTGTGTTATCRTGCCTTCATATAGCATTTAGCCTCAGAGAGTTCTGTATGGAAACCAAAAGTCCCAGGCTGCCACGGTGACTCTTTTCCTCTGATGGAGGGTTGCTCACATTTTATTGGTAGGAGAAAACTTCTGTACATTTCTCTTGTTTATGCCTTTGTTAAATAAATGGATAGGTGAATGAATGGGTGAATTAAYGAATGAATTGAATGACAATGGATTAAAGAAAAGAAATTTTGGTGGAAGAGCCTGCCTAGAGGCAGGAGACTTGGGTTCTAGTCCTAACTGGGCCACTAGCTGGTTGTCTGACCCTCAACAATCTCCCCAGGCCTTTGTTTCCTCATCTCCAAAAAGGAGGGTAGTGATTAGACCATATCAGGTTTCCCGGATCTTCCTGCCATTAAGAATCRCTGGGGAAGTTGTTTGAAATGCAGATTTCCCAATCCTTTCTCTATGTTAATTCTGTAGATTTATGATTAGGTCCTAAAATATATTCTTATGCATTGTGACTCAGCTGCCTTCTACACTCTGACATGTCTAGTAATCTCTACCCATCAAACATCCTCCAATGTCTGTGATGCTGCATGATTTACATATAAAATGTGTGATTCTACCTACTCCCTAAAAAGTGGGGCACCTGCCTAAACAAGGATGTATCTAACCAATGGAGTCAATAGTCTAACAAAGGAATATATATATTCTTTTTTTAAAAAAAAAAAAAAAAAAACTTCCCTGCTGAAAGTTATATTTTGGAGCCCTAGAATGGAGAAATTTATTTTTCTGCCATTATCTTTGGTTATTCTTGTCTTGATTTCTAATACACATGCCAGCTGCTTTTCTTTCTCAGCTAATGATCGGAACGAGCATACTGAAAAATCCTACTAATCAATATGTATATATATTTTTAAAAGAAACTGAAGGAGATTGCATTCCCAAGGACAGATGAATTGAAAAAGGACCTTTTAAAGAAATATAATGTAGAATACCAAGAATATTTGCAAAGCAAAGTAAGTTCAATTGCTACATTTATTTCATGACTGTTTTCTTTGCATTTTTTTAAAAATTTCACTTGTATATGTTTTCCAAATGTCATAAGCATTTAAATTAAAGATTAAAGATGCAGTAATGTGAAATCAATAAAAAATTTATGTTGGTGTCCAAGTTAAGCACTCTCACCAAAGATGTGGTATTTTTCTTTCCCTACAACATCTAATAAAGCAGTGCATTAGAAAATAGATTTGCTGCAGAGATTTAAATAACGCTTTTGACCAACTTTTGCCAATGTAACCTTGAGCCAGATGGCTGGATTTTTTTTCCAGATGAACAAAGGCAGTAGGAAATAGAGGGAACAGTGTGTGGTTTCTGATGTATCTAATTATGTAGGTCTTGGAAATGTAATTTTGTAGATAGAGCAGCTAACCCTATGGGTATAATGTAATCATGGCACCAAAGGATGGTTTTTCCTGGATCATTATTAAATAAAGAGTGAAAATGATAATGATATCTAAGAGACAGACAGGCATCAAAAGAAGAAATTGGATCAGTTTATGGATCACATATGACTATTGAGTGCTTAAAATGTGACTAGTGTGACTGAGACACTGAATTTCTAATTTCTAAAAAAATTTCAAATAATTTAAATTTTAATAATCACATGTGGCTAATGGCTACTAGATTGAGCAGTACAGTCTAGAGGTGAGATATTTTGTTCCATATAGTCTGGCCAGTCAAGCTGAGTCAACAACCCTGACATTGATTTTCCAATATTCAGAAGCACTGGGGAAAGGCAGAAACTGATTGTCTCTGGTAAAATACGAGTAGGTTTAGAACAGCTGTCTTAATCAGATTAAGGGGCTTTTGCTGTGATGTGTGTTTTTCTTAGTGTTTCATGAGTGTCCCTGTGAAGGTATCAAGCTGTCTCATCCCAGTTTGATGATTTTGTTTTGTCTTGAGAACTAACTTTTGTTTGTTTTTTTTTTTTTCTTATGGCATCCACATTTTTAGAACAAATATAAAGCCGAAATTCTCAAAAAGCTGGAGCATCAGAGATTGATAGAGGCCGAAAGGAGGCGGATTGCTCAGATGCGCCAGCAGCAGCTGGAATCGGAGCAGTTTCTGTTTTTTGAAGATCAACTCAAAAAGCAAGAGTTAGCCCGAGGCCAGATGCGAAGTCAGGAGACCCCTTCGCTGTCAGAGCAGATTGATGGAAGTGCTCTGTCCTGCTTTTCTGCACACCAGAACAATTCCTTGCTGAATGTATTCGCAGATCAAGCTAATAAAAGTGATGCAACCAATTATGCTAGCCACTCTCCTCCTGTGAATAGAGCCTTAAAGCCAGCAGCTACTCTAAGTGCTGTTCAGAGTAAGTGCTGACATGCCTCCTGCAAACACTCTGATGCTCCCTGATGGAACCATTTTTCTGTAGCATCTTGGAAGGTCTCTCTTTATTTTATTACTAATTGTGGTAGGATCYCTATGTTAAATGGTGTGAATTGCAGATGACCCTTTCAGCACTCTCTGACATTTACTATATATTAACTTTAAATTTCAGGAAACATGCCCAATGATAGGGCAAACTCTGTAGGACTGAATTTTGAGAATTCCAAGCATTTTTTTTTCCTTCTGTGTGTTTTAATCAAGAAGCACATATGTTTTTAAGGTAAACACTTACCCAGAGAAGAAAGGAAGCTGCTGAGTAACTCTCTTATCCAGATTTTTGCTCAATAATAAAATGTTAATTCCAGGGATGTTCAGCATTATCCCTGTGCTGAGAGGGTCTCATACACATAAACAGCTAAAATCCAAACGGCATATGCATTTCTGCCAACAGTTAGTGCTGCTTAGTATTGTTAGATCAGTGCTGGCAAATTTCTAAAATCAAAGAGMTCTCTTCCTGATAGACACTGTCAGATGTGAGTTTCTGTTCTCATTTTCAGAGTGTTATGATAGGCAACTGTTTAATTAGCTACTTTGMTGCTGATCATTTTTAAAAATGTGCTTGTGCTTACCAATTTTCATTAGGACATAAGCAACTTCTAGTAAATACATTAATACCAGGGGCTGGGCTTATAGCTCAGCGGTAGAGCGCTGGCCTCGAACATGTGAGGTCCTGGGTTCGATTGTCAGCACTACATAAAAATTAAAAAAAATAAATAAAGTAAAGATATTGTATTCATCTTTAAAAAAGAATATTAATACCATGTCTTATAAGGTACAGGATGCATTTTCTACATCCTATCTATTTAATGGTATATTTGCTGTGGGCCGAAAGAAACATACACATTCATGGAAGATAGTTGTTCCAGGGCACAAAAATATACAAGCCACTTGCACTTTACTATTTTGTTTATAAAATAATTTATATAGGAAATGTAATTTTACCTTCCTTCTAATCAATRTTTTAAGAGTTTTTAAACAAAACATGGAAAGTGAAGATTTGTATTTCAGTTTTTTTCCTCCTTTTTTTGTATCTTAGATTTAGTGGTTGAAGGACTGAGATGTGTAGTCTTATCAAGAGATCTTTGCCACAAATTTCTGCTGCTAGCTGAATCTAATACCATAAGAGGAATAGAAACCTGTGGAATACTTTGTGGAAAACTGGTATGTTTCTTTTTTTTTCCCTAGATCTCTCTGCACATGATTTTTCAAATAGTACTAGAGCTTCCCTGTGATCTGCAGAGCAGAATAAAAACATGCTAAGAACTGTAAATATAATAAATTAGCCTTAAAATATTAATCTCCTAAAAATACAACCATTTTTCATGGAATAATCTGAGAAAATGGATTGGAAAATTTCAGGGGCTCTAAATAAAGGCCTGTTTGAAATACTTTATCAAACCATAAATTAAATTGTTGTTAATAGAAGATCACAAGTATTCGGATTTCCAGATTCATCTTGTTTGCTACATCATATTTCCTTTACCATCGTTAGTTTCACATGTGTTCATATAATTCTTTCTACCTACTCTCATCTATGGCAGGTACCCTGCCATTGTTTTTCAGGTACATGTGGAATAAAACTGGAATTTTGTTGTTTTCTTTGGTTTAAGGCAATAGTTTTGGCAAACCAAGATCTATAAGCAGTGGCTCTATTTTATTATGGAAATGTTACCAGAAGTATGTGATAAAGGGCAATGCCAAAATAGAAGGAGCTAAGCGAGGATGGGTTTGGTTTCTTACCACAACAAAGATGAGCAATGTGTCTTTGGAAGCATTTTTTTTTTTTTTTGTAATTTCCTCTGGGTATCAGTTTAAATTTCTGGATGCAGGCACATTTTCAGTCCTCAAAATTATTGCTTGAACAATATGTTTTATTCAACTCACATCCTCCTGYTGAATTCCAGTGTTTAATCATCTCTTTCCACCAGGAAAGGGGAAGCCACCTGTGATGAGCAGTGAGTGACCATCATTTCCCACCCACAGTCACCTTGGTTGTCCTTCAGGGGGTTGAGGGCTGTGGAAGCTTCCTCCCCAACATCTTATGTTGTATTTGGTGTGATTGATTGGTTGATTCATTCATTCATTATTCATTCCATCTGCCTCAGACATTTACTAAGTGTTTGTGCCAGCACTGTGCCAGGCACTCAGCAGCCTGCAACAGCTTTGGTCCCTGCTTGTAAAGAATCAGACAGATGACTAAGTGGGGCTGAGTGCGTTCGGTGGAAGCCCAGGCTATCAAGGGAATGTGTAACTGGGGAACCTGACCTTGTGGGCAGGGATGTGAGATGAGCTTCCCTGAGGAGTGATGTTGAAGCTAGGCCTGAAGAGTAAATCCAGCAGCCCTGAAAGGACTGGGTAGAATGGAAGGAACCGTTGTAATCAAGGCAGAAGGAACAGTGCCCAACTGGCAGGAAGGTCTTAAGGCTAGGGAGAGGATAGTGCTGGGGATAGATGGACATGCCAACCTGCCTTGGGCAAGACAGCTTCTCACCACCAGTGACTCTGCGMTCTGGGCCTCTGGTCTAAGGATCTCTCACCACCTGGGAGCCTCACTTCAGCTCTTATCTTTTACCTAAGAGGGATAATTTATCTTTTATTCTTTAACTGTGAAAGCTAAAATATTATCTTTATTGTGGAAGATCTAGTGAGTCTTCTCAATACTAGAAGAAAGTTTATAAGTTTTTTTAGAGAAATTAAATATAATTAATAAAATAAAACCAAAACCATCAATCTGCATAACTCTTAGAAATGCACTTGAGTAATACTACAAAATTATTTAACTAGCATCTCCCCTTCCAAAGAAACCTGCCCTTGTTTTGTTCTGATTTTATCCATTGTAAATCTGTCAAGATATTATTTATTAACTAAATTGTCCTGGACCCCCGCTTCCCAGAAGGGTATTTTCTATTTATGATAGATTTGCTACTATAAAAGTGGGTTTCAAGTTCTAAACAACTGGCWCTCAAAACTTGGGGCAAAGAATCCACTTTGATATTTGGGACATTTTAAATTGTGATGGAGTGTATAGGGTGAGGGGGGAGCCAGGTTGTAAGGGAAAGCTTTAGTCTTGTGGAAAAACATTTCCCATTTTTTCCTATTTACTATTTACTGTTCTTTTTACTAATTGTCTTTCAGACACATAATGAATTTACTATTACCCATGTGATCGTGCCAAAGCAGTCTGCTGGGCCAGACTATTGTGATGTGGAGAATGTAGAAGAATTATTCAGTGTTCAGGATCAACACGATCTCCTCACTCTGGGATGGATCCACGTATGTTTGACTTGTTGGATTTCAGTTTATTTTGTAAGGCATATTATTTTCCTCCTTGAAGAAATTTAGTTTTATTTGTATTTTTTAAGTATAATAAATGCTATTATATTAAAACATTTAATTCAATGTTAGGCTGTATATAAATCTGTCAAATATGGATTTTTTTTTTTTTTTTTTGGTACCAGGGACTGAACCCAGAAGTGCTTAACCACTGAGCCACAGCCACAGCCCTTTTTTATTTTTTAAGACTGGGTCTCTCTAAGTTACTTGGAGCCTTGCTAAATTTCGTAGGCTGGCTTTGAACTTCCAATCCTCCTGCCTCATCCTCTCAAGCCACTGGGATTAACAGGCATGTGCCTCCATAGCCCACTCAAATTGGGATTTGAAGAGGGGTATTTTATTTATTTATTTATTTTACCACCCATAGTTGAGAAAGAAAACCTAAAACGTTTGGAAATTAGGTGACTCTTTCTGATGATTTCACATAGTCTAATGGAGGCTTAGTCAGATTTTTTTTTATAGATTTGACTAAGCAGTTACAATATTTTCTATGGGTTTATATTAGATTATCTAAAAAAATTCTGAAGATGTTTCATTTAAGCAGCTTTTGTATATATCAGATAGGGTCCATTTACTTCACTGCACTGCCCCTATAGGTCCAGAAGAGAGAGAAAGACTGGGAGCAGGAAAGAAAATATCACACTGTAAACAGCCATGGAATCAAATTAATGGATAGGGTCAAGAACATTGGGTTCTACCATCTACAAGGCCGTCTTAGGAGTAGGAAAGTGTTTGCAAATCAAATAAACATGAGTTTAAATCCCAGCTCTGCTAAGAATTTACTTGTGGGAACTTCAGCAAGTTCCTTAAGCAATGTGAACATCAATTTTATTATCCATAAAATAGGTATCATAATAATTGGATTCATCCTTAATGAATTCCTTAGCATATTTTTCTAGGGGCTCAGAAAAAATTGTGACTGTTATTATTGGTGATGATACTTTATTTTTCTATCTTTTCCATTTGGTCTCCTACAGCTAGACTTGGGATACTGTCTTAGTTCATCCATGCTGCTATAACAACATATCTGAGGTTGAGGAATTTATAAGGAACAGAGATTTCTTTCTAATAGTTCTGGGGGCTGGAAAGTCCAAGATCAAGRTACTGGCAGTACTCGTATCTGATGAGGCTGCTCTCTGCTTTTAAGATGGTGCTTTGATGTTAGGTCCTTACATCTTAGAGGCAGAAGAGCAAGATAGCACTCCCTTCAACCTTGAACCCTTTTAGAAGTATGCTAATAGTCACCTCCCAAAGGCCATACCTCTTCATGCTGTTACACTAAGCTTCAGCAAGAATTTTGGAGAGAACACCATCATTCAAACCATAGTGTGTGGAGGCAAGTCATCCCATGCTTGCTGAGATTTCCAGAGCACAGCTTGGATGATGGCAAGAGTCCCTGAAGAATGATGTGGTCATTTTGTATTCTTGTTTATAGAGAAGCACTGAGTAGGGTCAACATACACAGACACATGTCTAGTATTTGGTACTATGTGATTTAGGAGCACAGAGGAGACTGTATTCCCATTCTACCTGTAAATAAGCCTTGCTGTGTGCTTGAAAATTGCTCTGTTTTAAAGTTGATATTTAGCTTTACCTAAGTACAAAAATGTACTTTAAAGCAAAACAAATTGAAGTATAGAAATTGTAACAAATTAAAAATGATAGTCTTTTAAACCACACATTATATTGACAAGTCAATGGTAGTTTATCTTTGGAAGATTTCTTTTGATTTGCATTCTCCTTTTCTTAATGTGACTATTTAAAGCAATTTCCAAATTAAAAGCACATGTTTTTTCCCCTATAATTTTCTGTATGTAGAATGCATGCCATAATGAATTTAGATTGTTTAAGTAATGAATTTGGCATAATTATAGAATTCTAGGACTTTTACTTAATTTATTTTTCTGTATCAAATTGTGATTCAATGAAAATAGGAATATGTTACATTTTTAAATCTCAATGATTGCAATAACATTTTTATGCTGGTTTTGACGGAGCATAATAATAGTAACCAATTCCAGATCTTTTTTTCAGATCTAAATTAGTCATAGAAAACAAAGACTGAATTAGAATCAGACAGACCTGGAATAGAATTTAGATTTCTTGACTTGACTAGCTTAATGAGCTTCAAGGAGTTGGTCTCCAGCTTACTTCAGTTTTTTTTCAACTATAAAATGAGAATAATGACAGCACTGATCTCGTCTTGTTATTGTGAGAATTCAATGATATAATTCTCAGTCAGTGATTAGTTCCGTGCCTGGCACATTATTCAATTGCTGTAAATGGCATCTGCAGCTATTATCATTGTCTCCATCATCATCATCATCATCAGTGTTGTTTCCATGGACTCAGGGAATGGCCACACCACCCTCCCAGGAGACCTGTGCTCATTGGATAGAAGTGACTCCTGTTGGCAGACATGAAGGGCTCAGAGAGTCATGTTGGGTACATTCTTGAAAATAAGTTAACGGGCAGAGTGAGATTTGCCTGTTTGACAAACTGCTGCCTCCACAGCACAATAGTGCCTTTGACTACTTCTTACTTTCTCACCAAGACATTGGAAACACTRTGTTACTCAAAGAAAGCATTCCCAGTCAGATAATAGGCTTTAAACCTTGTATTCATGCTCCTACTAAATATTTGGGTTCTTTAAGTTAGGATAGGACTGGGGATGTAGCTCAGTGATACAGCGCATGCTTAATATGCATGAGGCCCTGGGGTCAATATGTAGCACATGCATGTGCACACACACATGTGCCCACAGACACACCTACGCACAGAAAGTCGGGAAATTATGTGATTCTTTATAGGCCAAGAGTTATTTTTCCTTGCAGAACGTGTATCTTTCTGTAAATAACCATGTGATTTTACCTTTAATCTATAAATAGGTAGAGAAGAATTTTGAATCTTGCATTTCTACCACATAACCCTGCTTGTGTAAAGGCATTAAGCTATTGCTATGGGCCTGTGCCCTTAGTTAATAATGACAACATTAAAATAACAAGAACAGAGTCATAATAACAGCTAATGACTTTGGTTCCTTTCTTTGTGTTAGGCACTATTCGAAGAATTTTACATGGATTATTCCATTTAATCTTTATATAACCTCACCAAGAAAATGATTCTCATACGTTTTTTATAAATGATGAAATGAGCAGGAGGAGGCTATGTGATCTTCCCTGTGTCTTTTACCAAGTGAGTCGTGGAGCCAAGACCCAGATAGTGTGTATCAAAGACCTTTTTTTTTTTTCATAAATAAAATTGTCATATTCCATTTTCAAGGGTCGTTAGGTTTGAATGTGAATTTTTAAGTCATTATATATGCATTTATTTTTTTTATTCACATATGAACCTCTCACTTGCCTCTGATAAACCAAAGTTTTTATTTAGCTAGGAACTTTGGAAGGTTTCTTTTGATTTGCATTCTCCTTTTCTTTCTCTTAATATGAATATTCAGTTGCTGTGCATGATGACCCCAAACACCTTCAACAACCTACAGACTCCCACCTTTCTGTTTACAGAGAATGGTGATCTATAAAGGATACACAGTAATGTGGAATATTCAGTGAACAGGTTCCTTCCATGGTTTTGCACAGAAGTATCTGTGGTCCAAGGTCTCCAGTCCTTCCCAGCTACTAACCAGGTTACTACACTTTCCCAAGTCTCAGGATTCTTATACATAAAATTGAAATAATAAAATAAGTATCATGGATGAGTTTTGCTGATCAAATGGTAATCTATTTAAATCCTCTGGCAAGTCATTTTCTAGCTCTTTCCCAACAAGAAGAAAGTAGATAACAGACTTGGGAGCCACTTCTCAAAATCGTAGTGATTCCAAATAAGCAAATAATAGGAATGCATAAAAGGAAAGATGATGTCAGCAAAATATTTTTAAAAATCCTTATTCGGCTGTGTGCAGTGGTGCACACCTATAATCTCTCAGGAAGCTAAGGCAGAAGGATTGCAAGTTTGAGGCCAGCCTCTGCAACTTTGTGAGACCCTCAGCAACTTTGTGAGACTGTCTCAAAATAACAGTTAAAAAGATTGGGGATGTAACTCCATGGTGGACTCAGCTACCCCTGGATTTAATCCCCATTACCTTACAGGGAAAAACATCCTTATTGGAATAATGATGGTAAAATTAAAAAAAAAAAAAAACAAATCAATAGAATTTTTTTTTTTAATAGGCTATGGCCTGGCTAAGCCTCAGCTGCCCTAATAAGTTTGTCCTCTTTCTGTTTTATAGACACATCCCACCCAAACTGCTTTCTTATCCAGCGTTGATCTTCACACTCACTGTTCCTATCAGCTCATGTTACCAGAGGCTATTGCCATTGTTTGTTCACCAAAGCATAAAGAGTAAGTGTAACTATAACTAAGGAGGGGAGCCCAAGGAAGGCTTTGGGCTCCTGGGTCCATGTGTGTCTACACATAGCTTGTGGTCTTTGGGAAAAAGAATAAGTAGCAGCTGGCTCTTATAGACTAGTATCTCTGCAGCCTTTGGTTTTGAAGGTCCTTTCAGTGGTAAAATCCTAGTTCTTTTCTTGATTAATAAAACCTTGAAGTGGGTAACACTTAACTGTTATTTGCAGTTCGATTTTCAAGAACCTATTTCTACTGTATTATGTCCTATCACAAGAAATTCCACAGACTTAGGCTCATTACCTCCAAAATGTCCCTCGTTTGGGGAGATCAGATATTGCAGAGTATGGTCATAGGAATCAAATGTATTTTGGAGTCCTGACTTGACCCTTATGTCCATAGGATAGACACCTGATCCCTGTGAGTGTCTGCCCATCCTGGATTGATGAGAAGGTGATATTAAGTGATGGTGTATGTACAGTTCTTAGCCTAGTACTGAGCACCACAGCAAGCCCTCAATAAATAGTTGCTGTTGCTATAAATACCATTATAAGAAAAATTAGAAATATCTCCCCCTTGTAATTTCCTCTGTGGGGGGATCTTCTTCTGATCTTTCACACAACAGCACAGCTGCCTGACCCATTATGGTCCTAAAGGTGTTACTTCCTCGTAGGTTTCTCTCTTCTAGACCAGTCAGGGAAATACTGGTTTAGAAAAACCACAGTGGAATTTCTTTTTTGTGTTTTTCTTCCTCTGTCCCATTTGGGGACTATGTATGCTGTGTCACTGAAGTAAAGCATCTGGAAATCTCGAGTGGTCTTGAATTTTATACCTTTTTTTTTTCTTTTTGACCCTGAAATTTAGCACTGGAATCTTCAGGCTCACCAATGCTGGCATGCTTGAGGTTTCTGCTTGTAAGAAGAAGGGCTTTCATCCTCACACCAAGGACCCCAGACTATTCAGTGTGAGTACACAGTATTAGTTACTTTTGCAGGTATTTTTTTGTTATTATCCCCCCACCCAAATTCTCTTTTAAAGGAGAAAAATAATAGCAGTGTGATATGGGGTAAAACACTATACTGCTTAGTTCATTCAGAGCTTTATCGMAGAAAACCAATCTTGTACTTCTTTGATTTCTTCTATTACTTTATTTATAACAAAATATTAGGATTTCCATAGTAGGGTTGATATGCATAAAGTTACCTTTATATTTGTTTATTTGTGTGGTGTTGAAACATTTTATTCAGTGTCAAAATAAGCAAACAGTTATTACAAAAAAATGATATTAAGTGTCTCATGAATTCTTTCTGCTTCATTTGGATGAATCATTTTTTAATAACCAATTAAAACTGTAATTGTACTTTTGGATAGCTTTGTACAGCCCCCAAATACATTATTTGACTACATATTTTCTATCTGTTTGCTTAGAAATTTTATGGTTACAATATTAGAGAAACATTAGAGAGCACAGAATTTCTTTAAAATGGAAATTACTTGGCAATCTGTAAATATTTTCTTGTTGAAAATGAATAAAACCTCATATTTGTTCTAGTTGGAAATAGTTTTTAAATTAGGAAATTTTTTTCAATTAGGAAATCTGCGCTTCCTCCCTAAAGAGAATCATCTGTGAAACATTATGATGTAAAACCAATTTTTTTCTTTCCTAGATATGCAAACACGTGTTGGTTAAAGACATAAAAATAACTGTGTTGGATCTGAGGTGATATGTTCCGAATGTAAGCACCATCAACACCAGACATCTGCCCATGGACATGTGGTGGCTGGATTTTCTTAAGATGTTTCCAGAAATGACTGATATTTTATATTTATACATTTTAGACCAGAAAGTTTGATATTTATTGCTCTTGCACATTTTGAAGTTTTCTTTTTGGGTTGCTCTGTCTCAAGAGAAGTCACATGGTGTTAAATCAAATACCTATTAATGTACCCAAAAACTATCACCAGATAATAAATTGTGCTGCAAAAAAAAAAAATGGTTGGTGTTTATGGAGATCTCTACATACATGTTTAGACCTTTAGGTGTTTTGTTATATTTAAAAAATATATCATGTAAAATGTAATTCCAAACAAATTCTGTATGCAGGTGGTCTGTACAGTAAACCGTTTCTTGCTTTCCTGTGAAAAGAAACATGGCTGCAGTCAGCAGAGCCCATCCTGGGTTTTCAGTGTTATCAAATTCCAGGCAGTGAATCATTGTAGGACATGAGGTGGCAGGCTTCAACTCAGGGATCAGGTATCGGAGGACCTGGGGCAGCAGAGGATTTATTAACTTGATTTAGAAGAGTAAAAGCAGAGAAGCTTGGAAGAGGAACAACAGCAACAAAAATATCTCAGCTAAAATCAGAACCTATTACCATAAAAGTTAAAAGGGGTGACAGGGAGAAAAACATGAGGCATTTGATGAGATAACTGACAATACTTAGCCAAATAGAATAAATTTAAAAAGAAAACAATTTAGAGAGATACTTGTAATTTGAAGTGTTTATGTTTACCTTCGTGCACAGAGAAGAGAAATAAAGTAAATTTGGAACTGAATAGGAGGGCCTAAATACAGTGACATGGACTGCCGAGGCTTGCTGTAGCATTTGTGTCTGTGACTTAGATAATGAAAGCACTTACTAGACCAAAAGGTGCAGATTAAATGGAAGTAATGGGTGTCTTATGAATACTGTTAGCAAATTAGATTGCTAGAGGAAAACCTGAGAATGGAAACATTGTGGGAAAAATTCAGCTACAAATATAAGAAGAGAAAAGTGAAAGTGATAATACTACTTTAAGAACATGAACACCAGTTCTGCATGCACAACTTCAGTCTTGGCAGAAATTGCTCCCAGGCACCTGGGGAAATCCTGAGCTGCTTGCCCTAGCTTTGATGAACCATACTTGGCCACCACTTAGTTCCCTTTCTTATCCTTTGGGGTCTTAGCTGATTCTAGTCTAGCTTTCTCTCCCCCGACCCCAACTCTTCCAATAGTTTTACTGTCTCTTCTTGGATCTCCATTTCTTTCCAATAGAGTAAAACTAATCCTATCTAATGTCCTCTATTCCCAGTGTCTAATATGCTCAACCACAGCTATCCCACTCCTTGCTTTCCTCCTGGCATTATATCTGAGKTGTCTGAACAGTTCATGTATACATGCACAGTACTGTTATCATTGGGATGTCCTGTTGAAATCCAAGTCCTTGGTGTCCCAAACAGAAAACTGAGCAAGACACACAGAAGTAACAGATATAGTACAGATTTATTGAAGGTGAAGGTAATGCTCCATTATGTAGAGTGGAGTGGGCCTAGCAAGCGAGAGAGGCTCAAGGCCTCTGGATATTACAGTCTGTCTGGATATTACAGTCTTCTATCCTGAACTGTGGGGTGTTCTCTATATGGACCCGATTGAAGACCTTACCTCATTTTCTGATTAGAGTATCTGATTAGAGTATTTTCCATTCCCCACCCCCCATTGGTTATTTTAGAGAATCTAATTAGAATAATGCCCACTTTACCTGCATGGATCATTTTAAAATTTTAACCTGTGGCAGGAGTTGTCATGGTGGTAAGTCCTCAGTGGTTGGCATTGTCATGGTAATGGGATTTATTGTAAATGGACATGACTTCTTGTCTTGTCCTCCCGAAGCTTCTTTCTAACCCGCTATCTCCTCCATCTTGGTGTCTGAACTCTACCTAATTGTACTAACATCTGCTTTTTAGTTCGGTGATTTCTGAAGGAGGGGTATGCCCTGTGTTCTGTATTTGGATAAGTTAATGTCTTCTTCCACTTATCTGTTCCTCAATACCAGAAGCATGCCACACAAGTTCTGCGTGTTTTCTTTCATGAAGAGCTGACGATGGGCAGATGGATGACTTGTTCCTGTTGTCTGACAACCTGTAGCCTTAGAAAGTTCAGGTCTCAGATTTCAGAAGAGAGCTTGGCTGGACCTAGGCCTAGGGACTTGAGTCTGTGGCCACCTCTTGCTAAAGGCAAACTGACTCTGCAAGGCTGTCTCCCCTGCTCTTTCTTAAGTGTGCTGTCCTCAACTTCTAAACACTTAAGGACACTATGATATTCTCATGTGCCTGAGCAAAGAACAAGATTATATAATTTATTCTAGCAAAAATAACTGTAGGGACAAGTGGCGGTTGTGACATGAGTGTTATCTTCTGTATAGTATTCAAAGATACAGTAATAGATGAAGAAAATGTAAAATGACGTCTGAGGAAAAGTCTTTGGATATGGAATGTTGCTTAGAGACACAAACAATTCAACTGAGAGCCGAGAACATTTAGCTTCTTAGGATTTCCAAACCCAGTTAGTCAGCAGACTTGTCACAGAGCTGGACTCTTGGAGACCACAAACCACTGACCTGACCTTGCCTGGTAGAATGAGTCCCCAGTGCTTCATCACTGAAAGAAGAACCAAAGGAGAACAGGCGTGTGGGCACACCACTTAGGAATGCACCATCCAGAGAGCACAGCCAGCCAGCCCACCCTGAGCGGCTGAGTGCCCCCRCAGGTGGTTGACCCCTGAAGTCCCCTGGGTGCTACTTGGGTTTCTTTGCACAGCAATAGTGAGGCTCCCTCTTTTAATCGTGAATCAGCTTCGCAGTCCTACGTGCCATTTCCTGACCTCCTAAGACAACGGTAGTTCTGCATTTCTTTTTAGATTTGTGTTTGTGTAGACAATTGAACCAATTAAGCCTGCTTCCTTTGGATGTGAATGTTAGTCTGTTTATTACATACAGTGTCAAGCAACTAGTATATTATTGAGGTCCTGAACCCCCTTAGTACTGTATAATGTGACTATATCTGTAGAGGGTCTTTAAAGAGATTATTAAACTAAAATGAGGCCACTAGAGGAACCCTAATCCAATATGAGTGGTTTCTTTATAAGAAGAAATGAGAAATGACACACACACAGGAAGACCACATGAAATACTGGGAGAAGTTGGTCCCAGAAAAACAGCCTTGCTAACAACTTAATCTGGAACATCTAGCTTCCAAAACTATGAGAAAATAAGTTTCTGTTTTTTAAGCCAGTCAGTCTGTGTATTTTATTATGAAAACCTTAGCAAACTATTCTTAACAAATATTTTTATCTTTTTCTCAGAGACTGTTTAGGAGTGGCTTTCTTTGTTGTTATGGGGTACAGATCATTCTCTTCTCCGTAGGGTTTGTGAAATGCAGAAGAGGAAAGCAGAATGTTTATGGCTTTTTTCTCTGCTACTGAAATTGTTCTGGCTTCTTTTTGAAAGGATTTTGCTTGTGGAAAATTGACATTTTATTTGAGACCACATCCTAGAATGAGTTCATTCTGCCCGTCCTCCCCGCCAGCTCATCCCATGTTGGAGCCACATCAGTGGTGTTGGAGATTGTCATGATAGCAGTTTGGCCTTAGTTAAGGTTTCTGTTGCGAAACAGGCTGAAGGGGTCCCAAATGTGGAAAGCAGATGTTTCTCTTGTGGCATGTCTTGCAGAATTGTCTGGCAAGAGCAATGCCTTCTGTGAGGAGGATGCTTGAGAAATGCCATGTATTTCGCAATGACTAAGTAAGAAAGGTAAACTTTTAGCTCTTTGTTCTTAGAAGAGTCTAGTTTGCTATTTATTGAGAAGTCAAACAGTATACAAAGACCTCTTCTCTATTCTTTTAAGAAACATGTTTATTTTCTAGTATCTTGATCCTTCATGAAGCAACTGCATTTTTTTCTTTGGGGACAACTGCAAAAAAATTACTTAGTGGCTTCTATAGAGTCATCATACTGATGTCCAAAAAATATATTTAAAAAGAAATTGTCAAAACTCATGTCTTAGTTTGGGCTGCTATCGTAAGATATCATAAGCTGGATGGCTTAAATAACAAAATGTTTATGTCCACAGCTTGGGTGGCTGGATGTCCAAGAATGGGGTGCCACATGATCTGGCTCCTGGTGAGGGCCTAATTTGCAGACAGCTGCCTTCTTGTTCTGTCCTCACACGGAAGGGAGAGAGATCATCTCTGTCATGTCTCTAGTTGTAAGGACACTATCACAAGGCCCTTATGAGGATCTCACTCTTTAGACCCAATTATCTTCCAAAGGCCCCACCTCCAAGTACCATCACTTTGGAGGTTAGTATTTCAACATATGAATTTGGGGGAAACACAGACATCAGACCATAGTTAGGGAAGTTCCAAAATAGCTAATAGTTTGTATGTTTGGAGTGGCATACGGAGTCTTTGCAATATATATCTTTAGATCCCATAGTTATTACATTTAAAAGTACCATTCAAATGCAAATAGAAATTTCAGTTATTAGATTGTCTTGATCCTGTATGAATATATCCTCAAGTAGATTTAAGGAATTACTCATTGAAAGGACAGTTTTCAAAAAKAATTGCCACTGGGTTAAGTTACACTAGGTATTGGAGTTCAATTTAAGAAAAAAATAAACCTCTAGGAAAAAAGGCTGTGTTTAAGTAGAGCAATATATATTGCATGTTTATAATGTTGTTTTATAATTATAATGTTTTATATGATTATGTTTTAATTTATGTTTTTATAATTAAAGGAATTTAATAAAATCCATATCCCTGCATATGTTTGAATAACAACAACAACAACAAAAAAGAGCTGGAGAAATGGAAAAGATGGAGAAAAATATAGGGGAGGTAACATTATTTACAAAAGAAGCTTCTTATACTCCTAAGATAGTTACTGGCTTGCTAGAATTCAGGGATGGTGGGGTGTGGAGATGCAGAAGATGAGAGAGAGAAAACAGAAAAAACCCTGGGAGAAGGAAAGTAGAATAAGAGCATTGCAGACTGGCTTTATTTAATTTGTTTTTGCGAAGTGAACGCCTTGGCATTATCTAGACCACAAGACGTTCTACAACCAAATGGAGGTAATTAGATCTTTTTTCTCCATCAAGGAAAATTACCCATACATCTGTGTCAGGTAAGTGAGAGTTTATAGAGAAAAACCAAAATTGTTTACTTGA